GTCGACGGCGTCCAGCATTGCTCCTGCATGACAGCAGCGCACCTACTTCGCAGGTGCTCGCAGGTGATTGGCGTGCCGTGCCTTGTCATCTGCACAACGCACACACCAAATCAACCTCGTGCTGAGGAATGCATCTGATCAGCCACGTCGACCTCAAAATACCACCACCGAGGTCGGCCTCGCCACGAACACCTGGGCGACTGTCGCGTGCCTTCGCAGAACCTCGTCACTCAGGTAACTAGGTCGACCGGGCAACCATGTCGACCAGCTGCTCCTTCACGTGCCCGTCGACCACCCAAGTCGAAGACCACTTCCAGTCGACCTCACTTGGTCAACCACACCCTTGGTCGACCAGCTCCAGGTCGACCAGCACATCTGTCAGCCGACCACACCCAGTCGGCTACCCCAAGTCGGCGTCACCAAGTCGACTCCCCTTCTACATCGGCGCCGACTTCCAGGCCGACCTCTTGAAGCCGGCGACCTCCCAAGTCGGCGACCTCCCAAGTCGGCGACCTTGCAAGTCGGCGCCGACTTCCAGGTTGACGCGCCACATCACCGACCACCAGTTGAAGTCGGCCGCCGGCTTCCCAAGTCAGCGGCATTGCAGTGGCCCCGTGCAAGTCGACCAAACCCGTCGACCAGCTCGCCCAAGTCGGCATCGCCCACTGCTGCAAGTCGGCTGCACCTCCCGTACACCCAACCACGAAGTCGGCTCCGCCCAAGCGAGGACGGGGCCAACAACAACTTCCGTTGACATGGAGTCGCACCGTTGTGTTTTAGGGAATGTACGCATTAAAATACATGGCTAGTTAGGACGTTTGCTTCTCCCTTTGTATTACTATATACACTTATGTATGTGCTCGTTTATATTAAGTCATTTTAGAATCAATCTGACATGAGATCAATACTTGCGCTGCAACTTACTCTATGCGAACCTTCCTGAGGCAGGGCTGATTTTATCAGGGTAATTACCCTGATTTCAGGGTGATTTCAGCCTTGTCACCTTGTGGTACCTGTAAGATCAGATTTTACGACTTGTGAACACTGATCCAGTCAGACTAATAATTTAGCGGACCCTGTAATTTTGTATACACTCTCAGGGTAGTGTTCTTATGGTCCCTGTCAAAACAGAGTACGCGTCCTGCGGACCTTGAATGAGACGCTATCGGGACGAAGCTTCCCGGAAATTTCCTACGAGACCCTCTCGTGTGCGTAATCATGATTTCGCCTTCCCCTGTGTGAGGGACCCCTTTCACACGCAGTACTGACGTAATACCGACAAGTAACACCACGCTCCACTGTACAGCACCGTTGCACAGCACCACTTTGACAAAGCAACCAGAATATGATGGTTTGCTGCCACGCGTACCGTGCAAAGCATAGTATGTGTCCCTCATTGGCCAGATAGGTTTTTTTACAGTCGGCGCTGGCAGACAGACAGTCCTTCAATGTATTCGGCCTTGCATGAATGGCCGAATTCATTGACGACTCGACGTTTCGGGCATCAAGCCATCAATTTCGTGGCGACGCGGAGGTTTCTTGCTGACCCCGTCTTCTCCAACCATCTTTAGCTTCCCCCTCCCCTAGGCCAGGGTCCTGGATGTGGTGCGCTTATTTTTCATTTCGTTCAATCATTCTCTCAGTATCTCTCACTCCTCGTCTCGTCTTTCTCGCCGCCATGGAAGGCCTGCATGTCGACGATGCTTCTCCTCATGATCGCTCAGATGAGCCACCGTTACCGCCGAAACCCACGGAGCCTACCCTGCTGGAGAAAGCTTCTGATGCCCGACGCCCTGGGCTCGATTTTCTTAGAACTAGCGCTGCTCCAGTAACACCCGATCCTCCTAGGTCCACCGTCTATGACTCTGCAGGTAGAGAAACCTCCACTCCGACTGAGTCTCGCCGTCCCGCCGCCTTCACTCTACCCCCGGCTCTTGCTTCTTGCAGTAAAGATCCCCCATTGGCCGTGCCAAGTCCGACACCAAGCACGGTGCGGGTGTCCGTTGGTCCTCCGTTGGCTTCAACCTGCCCAAAGCGAGCGTGATATGGGAAGTGGGCGCAGAGTGCCCTGTTCATCGGAGGTCGCCGTCTTCCACCGCCTGACAACCCGGCTGATCCACCACCTGATGTCGCTGAGATCCAGGAGTCAACTAACATCCCTGTCCGCACGGACACCGGCTCGCCCGCACTCACCAAGATGCAGCTGAGAGAGCAGATGTACCTTGAGGCGAGTATCAATTACGAGACAAAGTGGTCGGGCCAGTTTTCGTGGCTTGTGTTTGGAAGAACCAAGGATGGATTTCCCTATGTGAAGTGCAGCGTCTGCATGTCATACGGGAAGGAGAAGACAAAGTACGCCAGGCAAGGTAATGATGGTGGACGTGACTTGCAGACGCAGTCTTTCCGGGCTCACGAACACACGGGCGTTCACACGGCGGCGGTTGATCGGCAGATGAAGATTGCGCAGGGCATCCGCAATGGGCAGCAGGTGATTTCAAGCTTCATCAACTCGGACATCGAGGGGAGGCGTGCGATTCGACTCATGCGGTCGGTTGAGTTTCTTTGCCAGTGCGATGCGCCGATCAGCATGTTCCCGACATCCCAAGGCAATCCTACGTGGCCTACAAACATGTGCAGGTACGGCTTCCAGCAGATGGTTCACAGCATCAGTTTCTACCTGACAAGGGTGCAGATGGACCACATCCAGTCTTTCCCATTCCTGGGCCTCGGCTGTGACGAGAGCACTGACCGAACGCGAGGGAAACATATGATTGTTTACCTCACAATTTTGAAAAGTCCCCTGCGAGTTTTTCACCCTGCTTTGAGTTGAGAAGTGTGATGCAGGGTCTCTGATCGAGGTGCTCATGAATCATCTCCGCTCCTCATCCGTCGATGTGTCCAAGATCATGGGAGTTGGTACGGATGGGGCGTCGATCATGATGGGGAAGGATAACAGCTTGGTGGCGCGGATAAAGGAACACGTCTCGCATCTCTTTTCCTATCACTGCATCGCCCACCGGTGAGTTTACAAGGTGTGAAGATGCGCAAGACATGTCACTTGTCTTACTCACACATGTTGTGTTATGTCCCCTGCGTCCTACAGGGAGGCTCCGGATGTGAAGAACGCTACGAAAATTCCGGACCTGGACATGGTGGACAAGGTGGTGCGCACCGTGGCGGCAGAGCTCGGGAAGTCGTGCGTCTGGAGTCAACGCTTCAAGTACCTGCAGCGAGTGATCTACAACACGAACCTTGAAGTCCAGGGGATCCACACGGTTCGGTGGCTGTCACGAGGGGATGCGGTGCGTCGGCCGTGCAAGGTCCTGGGCGCGTGCATCGTCCTGCTCTGGGAGAACAGCCACAAGGCGTACGAGATTGTGACGTGCTACAAGTTCCAGTTCTGCCTGTTCTTTCTCGCCGACATCCTCGCCGACATGAACGAACTCAACCGTTGCTTCCAGAAGCGTGATGTAAGTTTATTTTACTTTCGCGAGTAGGCCTCTATTTGTGCATGGTTTGTTTTACCGTTAGTAACTGTCTAACATGTGCTGAATGGCGGTGCTGTGACAGCTGGATGTGACGGAGATTTCTATGACCATTGAGTCCACCACGGCGGATCTGACGGAGCGGTACTTGACCAACGACAAGCCGTTCGGTGGCGAGAGCAAGAGCTGGCTGGTCAGCTTTCTGAAGCTGCACGGGCAAGGCGGAGGCAAGAAGGTCCGGGTGCAAGGCGTGGACGGTGAAGGACCCCAATCAACCACCTCTATACCATGCACGAGAGGAAGCTCCCGGGGCACAAGTACGGAAGCACTTACGCCGAGCGCGTGAAGCTGTGTCGCATGTTCGCCCGCGATTGCGTGGACAACCTCAACGAGCGTCTGGATGACATGGGGAAGCTGGGGCCGACGAAGCTGTTTCGGGCGGGGAAGTGGCTGAAGATTAAGGCTCAACGGGAGCGGAAGTGCCGTGAGTGGCTTCTGGGATGTAGCAAGCTTTCCGCAACAAGCTGACAGGATTCGACCTCAAGGCCGCAGAGAGGGAGCTCCCGACATTCTGTGCGATAATGGAGACGCACCACGAGCTAGAGAGCTTCGAGCAGGGCCTGACAAACATTCTCTGGAGCGCAGACTCGAAGAAGTAACGTACTGCTCGGGGCAGCGCTGTTTCTGAGTGTTGGTGTGTTGTGCATGTCATAAACGTTTCTTCACGGTGTGTGCTGCTGCATGATTGTACCAGGCAGGAGATGGCCCAACCTCATCCTTCTGTTGCAGGCGATCGCGTGCTCCCCTTGTCAACCGTGGAGTGCGAGAGGGGTTTCTCCTGGCAAAACGCCATCAAGTCGTGGGTGCGAGGCGTACTCTGCAACGCGCGGCTGGGCGAGCTGATGCAGATCTCGCTCCTGGAGTATGACATCGAATGGCCGGAAGCACTGGAGGTCCATGAGGAGGAGGCGCCCTGCGAAGAGCGCAAAGCTGGCTGCGGCAGAGCGTGACTGGAAGGTTAAAGAGAAGGAGGGTGAAGACGAGGTTGCTGGAACTGCCGGGCAGAACGAGGAGGAGGGGGAGGAGGAGGAAGAGGATGTGGAACAGGACCTGGGCGACGATCAAGAGGTCGTGGGGGAGGAGGAGGAGGACAACCCCTTCCTCTCGGACGATGAAGCTGTGGAGGAGGTGTTCCACATTGACAAGCCGATGCACTAGATAGTGTAGGAAACTTCCAGCATGCTGTATACCGCAGTGAAAAGCATAGTGCAATTTTTTAAGCAACACTGAATTGTTGTTGTGATCCCTGGCACATCAGAGTGAGACTTCGTTTGACACTGAGCAATCAGAGTAGCAAACCTCTGAAAAATGTGCACCCATAATACAGGGGGGGGGTATTTTCCCGGAATCAGGGAGGTCTAACATGGAACGTCAGCCCTGGCATGAAGGCGTTGAAGCCATCGGCAGCAGTGGAAATGAGCATGCCCGGAATGTGCGGATGCTAGTGCAGCTCCTTTATGTCCGTCTGACCCTGTTATGGGTACAGGAGGGAAAGGAGGGGAGCGGAGAGAGGTGTTGAATAGAGATATACCAAGCAGCAGCAGTGGATATCAGCATGCCTGGGATGTTCGGATGACAGTGTAGCTCCTTTATGTCCGTCTGACCCTGCAGTTGGTGGCAGAGGGGGTGGGAGAGGGCGACGAAGGGGAAGGAGGGGAGCGGAACGAGGTGTTGAACAGCGAAGTCCAGGAAGTAATGTAGTGAAAGCAGCAGCAGTGGAAATCAGAATCCCGTGATGTGCGGATGCCAGTGTAGCTCCTTGATGTTTGTCTGACCCTGCAGTAGGTGGCAGATTGGGGTGGGAGAGGGGGAAGAAGAGGAGCAAAGAGGTTTATTGAAGGAGACAGAGGAGGAAACTAAGCCTGGTGCACGAAGAGCGGCTGGGGAGGCAGGTCTGATGGCGCCTCTGCCTGCGGCTTCTTCTGCCCTGCCTCAAACTCCGCCTCTTCCTCTGCATCTCGCTCCAATGACAGGTCCCATATGCTGTTCCGCACATGGTGGCGGGTTGAGGAAAGCAGTTGACGGGGTGGGGGGAGGAAAGAATGGAGGGAGGGAGTGTAGGGATGAGGAGAACGAAAGGGAGGGAGTGGCATTTGCTGGTGACCTCAACTCCCACCACCACCACTCCCCCCACCACCACTCCCCCCACCACCACTCCCCCCACCACCACACCCCCCACCACCACTCTCCCCACCACCACTCCCACCACCACCACTCCCACCACCACTCCCACCACCACTCCCACCACCACTCCCACCACCACTCCCACACCACTTACGTGAGCTGGTTGTCAGCGCAGGAGGTAGCGAGCGTGGAGCTCTCATGCGGGCTCCACGCGATGGACGTGATGGGCTGGCGGTGGTGGTTGAAGTGCGCTATGAATGCGCCCCTTCTCCACTGCAACCTCTCACCACCACTCACGTGATCTGGTTATCCGCGCAGGAGGTAGCAAGAGTGGAGCCCTCATGGGAGCTCCATTCAATGGACGTGACGGGCTGGCGATGGTGGTTGAAGTTGTTGATAGTGTAGGTGGTTGTGGTATTTTGCTCTAGCTGGTTGTGGGCTAAGGGTTTGGGCAAAATGTGCTTGCTAGACTTGTTGCGGGCTGGAATTGATTTCGCACCCAACAAGCACCAACAAACATTTGCTACCCACTACAACAACTTTGGTGTTGCTAGTTTGGCACTTTGGGTTGTTGGGGATCGTTGTAGGGCGAGGGTTCGGTTGGTAGGGTTTGACCAACTCGTCACTTTGCAAATCTGAATTCTTGCTAAAGTTACTTTCTTGATCTAATCCATGGCTGCCAAGTAAATCCGCTAGGATACCCCGTCGCACTTAAATCGCGATAGCGATCGGCCTAGATCTTGGTTGAAGGCGTGCGTTACCATTCTGGAAAGAAGAGATTAAGAAATTTCTAACGCGTACCTGTTCATAGTTTAAGATTACGTGAGCTGCACGCAATGTTCCGTCGAAGTCGGCAGACTTAATCTCTTGTACGCTCTCCGGATTCGCGCGCTTTCCATCAGAAGTGCGCTATGAACAAGCACAGGCTGGGAGCGAGTGGCACTTGCTGGTGACCCCAACCCCCTCACCCACCACTCCGACACCACTTACGTGATCCGGTTGTCGGCACAGGAGGAAGCGAGCGTGGAGCTCTCATGCTGGCTCCACTCAATGGACGTGATTGGCTGAGGACAAAGCACAGGCTGGGAGCGGGTGGCACTTGCTGATGACCCCAACTCCCCCCACCACCGCTCCTGTTGAGTGATGCTACCATTCGCATTCACGTCTGTCTGCCTCCCATCATATGTTCGTGCGTTGCATGCGTGTTGTGAGTGTGTGCAAGAATTTGTGTTTTGTGCGGTTTGGTTTTTCTGAGTGTGTGTGTGAATGTTATTTGGCTTGAGCAGATATCTGAAGTGACTCCTCTGCTCAAGAGCTTTCCGAAGAACCAAGTATCGCTTCAATCGGAGCACGAACAAGAAAGTTACGAACGTTGGAGTTCGTATGCTTTTGATATTTGGTTGTGGTGACTATGGGAAGTTGTGGGGTTGACTCAATATGGGGTACAGACTTTTGGGGGTTGGGAAATTCGTCTTTTCTACTGTAGTTGCTGCCAAATGGTTGGGAGAAACCAAACCAGGTTGGCAAGTGTGGCCAAGTTGGGTTGAGGTGGATTGTGGAGGTTGGGATAGTGACAAAGGTCAAAGTTGGGTTGCCTATGGGGAAGGGAATTGTATGGCATGGGGTTTCCTTGGTTGGGGACTCTCTTGGGACCTTCCCTCTCGTCCTCCTCATCCCTTCCACCTGGTTTAGTGCTACTCCAACTTTCTTGTGTAAAGTTGTGAGATCATTGTGATTGAGTTACGTTTTCTATGGCAGCATACCCCCTAGTGCGCCGAAGTTCATAACTCGAGTTATACTCCATATTATGATACTATTCAAATTGGGAAAGATAGCCACGGTCAAGGGCTACAACATACTCGAGTTTGAAAGAATTCTAACAGTGGACCTTTCGTCGACGACGTTTCTTGTGACGACGACTTTTCTGTCCAGAATTGTAGTTGACGATTTTGAGATATTTCAGCCCCTAATCTTCATAGACTCCGTCCTTAATCTCTAACAAGTGGTATCAGAGCTGATTAAGGACCCTATGAGGAGTCTACTGAAGTGTGAAGACCCTCTTAGACCCACCATGGCCTGTGGGCGTGCCTAAGTGGAGTTCTGGAGGTTGGATGTGACTTCCGCTAAGGGGAAACTCTGCCGAAATTTCGTTGGCGCCGACACTTGTGAAGATTGTGTGGATCTACATTGTGACCAGCAAAAGGGGGAGCTGAAACCTCTGATTGGGAGCAGAGGAGATGAATCAAGGGAGTGGAGATGCAGCTGAGAAGAGGAGTGAACCGCCACCATCCAAGATCGAAGCTTTGGATGGCTCCAACTATGAGGAATGGAGCGGGCGGATGCGGAGCGCCTTCAAGCGCTACAAGCTGCTGAAAATTGCAATGGGAGAGGAGAAGATGCCGGGGGAAGGAGATGCCCGCGATCGGTGGATTGAGAAGAGCGCGGTGCTTTACGACCTCATCCTCCAATCGGTCAACAACGACATGTTCCAGCACATCAAGGATTTGGTGGAGTTGGATGATTCCGGACCGAAGGCATGGAAGCTGCTACGCGACGTGATTCAGCCCAACACGCTGCCGATGGTGATTGTGTTGGAGAAGGAGTTGGCTGCCCTCTCCATGAAACCGGGAGATGATGTGAAACCGGTCCTTGACAAGATCAAGGACACCTATGCGAGGATGGCAGCGGCGGGCAGCGAAGTATCGCAGATGCAACAGTGCACCAAAATCATCTCGGTGCTCGACAACTCGTGGGACAACCTCATCCCCACCCTCAACGTTCAGCAGGACAAATGGACGCCTGAGTGGCTACGGCAGCAGATTCTGCAAGAGGACTTCCGCAGGCGCCACACGGGAGGTGGTGCTGCCAACAAAACTGCTGAGGGGTATGGAGCTGCAGGAGGCAGCAGAGGAAGAGGGGGAGGGAGAGGCCGAGGCCGTGGGAGAGGCTTTGGCAGAGGGAGAGGCCGAGGTGACTACAATGAGGGGCATGGGAGCTCTGGTGGCAGGGGGAGCACCCGAATGGAGGGTGCGTGCTGGTACTGCAAGAAGGCTGGACACCCGTGGTTCAAGTGTTTCAGCCGGCCTGAGGGATGGGCCCCTCCAGGCATGAAGCCGCCAAGTGGTGAACGTGCACGCGGTGGCGCTGTGCAAGGATCAGGTGCACAAGGTGATGGTGCACAAGGTAAAGCCGACCCTGGGATGTTCCTCATGGTTGAGGATGTGCAAGGGAGTGGGGGTGATATGGGTTCAGTTGGGAAGGTTGTGATGCACCCCCTCACTCACTGGGTGATCGATTCAGGTTGCACGAGTCATATGACCCCACGGGCAGATTTGCTTGATGAGGTAAAACCTCCTGGGAAGATCAAGTTTGTGGCTGCCGCTTCAGGTGCTTTGCTCCCTGTGATTGGTGTTGGGAATTCTAAGGTGATGGGAGCCAATGGAGAGCTTGTGGGGCTTGGGAATGTGCTGTTGGTTGAAGGTTTGTCCGCTAACCTTCTTTCTGTGCGCCGGCTGCAGAAGAGCAAGGCTGAAGTTACCTTCGGCCCAACCAGCTGCCATGCAAAGCTTGGGAAGTTGCTGCTGTGGAACTTGGAGGAGAAGAGCAGCTGCATCAAGGACCTGTGGCAGCTGCCCATCATCCCTTGGAAGGGGAAACCACCAGCAACGGCAAAGGCAGCGGCAGCGGCTAAAGCAACTGCGGGAGGAGAGGAGACTGCACCAACTGCTGGGGCCCTGGATGCAGTCAAGAAGGTGCAGCAGCCACAGCAGCCACATGGTGAGGTGCTTGCTGGTGTGGATGCGACAGCTGCATGGGCAAAGGCTTCATCTGGGAGTGGTGAGGCTGATTGGGAGACGTGGCATGAGAGGCTGTGCCATGTGAACATTCCTATGCTGCAGAAGTTGGTAAAGGATGGGTGCTTGAAGGGGCTGGAGGTGAAGGGGGGAGCAAAGGAGATTGGGAGCTGCCCTACCTGCCTTGAGACCAAATTCACGAAGTTTCCCTTCAGCAGCAGCACAGGACCAGCCAAGGCACCACTTGCACTAGTGCACATGGATGTGGTGGGCCCCACGAGGGCCCTTTCTCTCTCGGGCAGCCGCTACTTCTTGACCATTGTGGACGACCACACGCGTGCGGTGTGGGTCTACCCTCTGAAGACTAAGGGGGAGGTGGCAGCGGCTGTTCTCAAGGAGTGGATGCCGAGAGCTCAAAGGGAGAGCGGACATAAGGTGAAGGTGATCCGCACTGACAACGGAGGAGAGTTCATCGGCGCTGATTTTGAGAAGGAGCTGAAGCGGAAGGGGATCCAGCATCAGCTCACAGTGCCTTACAACCCTCAGCAGAATGGCGTGGCTGAGCGGTTCAACCGGACCCTGCAGGAAGGTGCTCGCACTCTCCTTGGGCGTGCAGGGCTGCCGGATCCGTTTTGGGTGACAGCACTGCGGCAGGTCGTTGTTGTGAAGAACAGGGTGCTGGCGACTGTGGGGGACAAGCAGTGGGTCCCCTACACCAAGTGGTATGGGATTGCACCAGCTGTGAACATGCTGAGAGCCTTTGGGTGCATGGTGGTGTTTCATGTGCCTAAGGAGAAGAGGGGAAAACTGGAAGCTTCTGGGAGATGGGGTGTGCACTTGGGGCTTGCTAAGGATCACAAGGGCTGGCTGATTTGGGACTTGACCAGCCAGCAGCTGACTGTGTCAAGGGATGTGAAGTTCCTTGAGTCCTTGTACTACAAGGAGTGGAAGCAGCAGCAGCAGCAGCAGAAGCTTCCAACGACACCGCTAATTGTCGAGGCCGATGAGGTGCAGCGGCCTTCAAGGCAAGTGGAGGTTTCTGTCTCTGAGAATGAGATCTCTGGGGTGACAGAGGATGGGGGAGAACCTGAGGTGGAGGAGCAGCAGCAGCAGCAACAGCAGCAGCAGCCGCAGCAGCAGGAGGAGCAAGGTGCTCCACAAGGTGCCGGACGTACGGCTGACCGTCCTAGGAGGGATGTGCGCCCTCCTAACAGGCTGACCTATGCAAGCCGTGGCAAGCCAAAGGTGGTAAGGGCTGGGAGTGTGGCTGAGCAGTGTGATGAGGATGAGATAGCACACTGCTACTGGGCAGCCGTCCCTGAGCCCAAGACGCTAGCTGAGGCCTTGAGTGGGCCCGATGCTGAAAAGTGGAAGCAGAGTGTGAAGGAGGAGTATGATTCTCTGCT